GGAGTGGATATAGATGGAAAATTCGATGGTATAATCTAGAAGTTTTGGGGCAATCGATGCTTAAGTGGGCACTGTAACCATTTGAATGCTTGTAGTAATGGTGTCTGAGGATATCTAAAGCTTCTGAAATGCCACTGATCTTTTTAAATAAAAGAGCGATACCACAGGCCGCTCCAAGCACAAGCATAAGTCCAGCTCGCATGTTGCAGTTGTTGCTACTGTTACTGCTTATGCTTGACATTTTCAACCACTTGAGAAGAGCTGCTCGGAAAAACCTTTATGCAGAGGGATCATGGATATTTCGACAATGCAGAAAGTTTCACAACGGAGAGGCTGCCAGTTCACATCTTACTCATAAAGGCATACGACTCTTACTTTGTTTCCATCCACCGCACCGTCGCACCCAACTTTCGTACCTGGAGGAAGGAGACGCGCCTGGAAAAATGAGATTAGACAGAAATAGGGGAGAACAATACACGTTTGACCGAAATTTTTCAAAGTAGGCAGTCTTCGTAACACTTTGCTATTATTGTTATTCTTGGAGAACGATGACCTAACTCACCCTGTTCAATTGTCCTTTTTCTCTTAAGCCGGCCATGAGGGCTGAGCGTACTTTGGATCGAATTGACTGTCTTGAACCACTTGGGAAACTCCTTAATAAATGCAATGGTATCGTGCGAGGAATTTATCGGGAAATGTGTTGAAGAACCTGGACGGACCTTTCTCCCGTGAATTTATTAGGTATGGTAGTGGTTCCTGGATTCTTCGCTCTTCCGTCCCCCCCGGGAAAAAGGGCCCCGTAAAAGGAAAATGGAGTGTAGGAGCTGCATATTTCCTGAGAACAAGTGAACTTATGGTTCTGAATATCGTGCAACTCCTCTAATTAGCGCACTATATGTAAAGAGCAAAAGGCGGTGGACTATAGAGCTATCTATCGTATCGATACTTAGTGAAAAGCCCCTTAAAATCTCTGAGCGAATGGTTTGCACAATGGGTTGAGCCAGAAATGATGTGAAACATTTTCTAAAAAATACCTTACCAGCCCATTATTGACGTACTGCAGGTTGAATTCTGTATACAGTCCACCTAATGCATGGTATGTGAGGCATTCCGCTGAAAATGCACTAACTTCGACATTACTCCAAAAATTGCACTTTCTCAAAGACATCATGGGAAGCTCAAACGATTACAGAGTGTGCTAGTACAGCAATAATCAACCAATTACACTCACGCTCAGCGCCAACGTTTGCCAGAAGAAGGCTCAGTGCTATGGCAGCGAACAACATTTGAACTACGACAACTCTGCGTCGTCACACTCCACTTTTATAGACGACACTTTCTACTGCATATTTTCATTAGGTTTAGTTAGAAACAGTTCTTGTGTGAATGGTTCATTGTATTTTTTTTCTTTTGGTAAACTCGTGCTCCACGTGTTCTGCACTTCCATAACGCTTCCTGCGAGGAAAGCCAATCATAGCCAACCGCTGTCACAACTCACGTTGGATCGTTTTCGCTTCCATACTGTTTTCACTGTCGAAGGGGCATTCACAATGCCATTCGATTGTATGAAGGGTTCGAAGCTGTGAATAATGTACAAAAACAATTCTTATATGCTTGCATAGGTTTCGGAAGGCATCGATTAGCTCAGCAGAACCGTTCTTGCCCCGTTCTTTCAAAACGTTCCGCTACAATTGCAGGCAAAATGTTTTAGGCACCAAGCATTCATCTTACTAGGGATGGTCGCCAGGTCGAAGTGGCCATTTGCGAGGAGACGTGTATCACGGGACGTGTTTTTGAACGCGGATTTCGAACCTGCCTTCGAAAGTTGCAGAACGAATTTCTGAAGGGAATTATGAAGGTTCACCTGGCGACATTAACTAGTTAGAACAATGAGCTCCACAAAATTCACCTAAGACCACTTTGATTCGGAAATTATGCGAGTTGATCGACTCAATTCGGGTGATGACAAGCATCCGAGAAGTCTTCTAGCCTAGAATGGCCGCGGTGAGGGGCAAACGGTTCAGCACAACAGTACTTCAAATGTTTGACTAGTCGACTCAACTGTGAACCTTTGCAACACTTTCCAATTCATATAAACAGGCCGCCACTTGCTTGCAGGCAGCGCAGGCATTGGCGAGCCTAGGCAAGTTGTTGCTTTTACGAGTTTTAGTGCAAAACTGCAGGGCTCCATACGTTTTCGTGGGATTTGCGGCACCACATTCTGGGAGTGTTGAGTGAGAGTTTTGAGCAAGACGTTGTAACTGTCAACCTTTATGAGTGATGAGCATCGTTGTTTCCACACACTATCAACAATTTCAAGCTCTTCATCGTGTGAAAACAGAAGGCATTACTGGGTGTGTTCTAATGTGTGACATAGTAAACACCCAGTCGACAGTGAAAACAGTAGAGAAGCGATGAACGATCGAACATGGAATGTGACACAGAGCGCTTGGCTATAATCGATCCTGGAAATGCTTCATTGACAGCAGAACACGTGGAACACGAATTTACCAAAAGAAAAAATACAATGAGCCGTTTATACAAGAACTGTTTCTAGCTAACTCTGATGGAAATGTGCAGTAGAAAGGTGTTGCCAGCGCTTATAAAAGTGGAGTGCGACGGCGCAGAGTGTCATAGTTCAAATGTTGTTCGCGGCCATAGCACTAGGCCTTCTCCTGGCCAACGTTGGCGCTGAGCGTGAGTGCAATGGTGTTTATTGCAGTATTGGCACCCTCTGCAATGGACTTTCTATGATGTCTTTGGGAAAGTGCCCTTATCAATGTTGTGTTGAATTTAGTGCATTTTCAGCGGAATGCCTCACCTTCCATGCATTGGGCGAATTGTATAAAGAATTCAACCTACAGTTCATCAATAATGGACTGGTTAGTATTTTTCAGAAACATTTCACATAGTTTCTGGCTCAAACATATCAAGCAAACCAATCGCTCAGAGATTTTAAGTGGCTTCTCACTGAGTGTCGATACGATAGATAGCTCTATAGTTCACCGCCTTTTGCTCTTTACATATGGTGTGCTAATCAGACGTGTTGCACCATATTCAAAACTATAAGTTCACTTGTTCCCAGGAGTATGACCCTACGCTCATTTCTTACGCCTGCGACGAAGCGAAGAATCCAGGAACCACTACCATACCTAACAAATTCACCGGCGTGAAAGGTTCGTTGCAAATCCTGTTTAAGCACTTTCCCGCCCGCTAATTTCTTAGCACGATACTATTGCATGTATTAAGGACTTTCCCAAGCGGCTCAAGTCAGCCAGTTCGATCCAAAGTACGCTCAGCCCTTATGGCCGGCTTAAGAGAAAAAGGACAATTGAACAGGGTGAGTTGGGTCATCGTTATCCAACAGGGACAATATTAGCAAAAGTTGTGCAGAGATTATCCTGCTTTGAAAAAAATTTTCGGGCCAACCTTTACTGTTTCTCCCCTATTTCTGTCTCATCGCATCTTTCCAGGCGCGCCTCCTTCCTCCAGGCACGAAAGTTGGGTGCGACGGTGCGGTGGATGGAAACAAAGTAAGAGTCGTGTGCCTTTACGAGTGACTGAGAGCCTATCCACTGTGAAAATTTATGCAATGTTGGAATATCCTAAAACATTCCGTATAAAGGTTTTCTCAAACAATCTTCTCAAGTATTTGAAAATGCTATGCATAAGGAGGAAGAGTAGATACACCGTATCAACAAGCTTGCGACTAAAACGGGCCAGGAAAGCTCGTTCGCGATACGGCATCGTTTGACTCGCGCCCTCGGATTTTACCTTACCCTGTGCATTTCGTCATGGATTCGGATCTGGTTTTTCCTTTTTTGGAACTCGCGTGCTTTGTTTTGCCTTACCACAAGGGAAAGGCAAAAAGCCTGCGAAACTGGCCCAAAGCCGGCCTGGCTGGCTGTTTTGATTCTACCTTAGCACTGTTTCAATTTTGCCTTTCTAGTGGAATGGCATGCGGCTGCAGTGGACTTTTAGGCGTTAAGTAAAATGTGTGTGTGTGCAGTGGATGCGCACGCGTAATTCTACCGAATGAGCCAGAAACAACATTTTGCATGCTAGACCATGTGGTTCCTGGGATGTTAAAGGCTTTGGTTCGATATATTAATGTTTTCTTTGGTAGCTGGGGATCTTTGGCCTTACATAGGCTGTCTTTAGGACTGAACAGAGATCCTAGGAGCGCAGTTTTAGAATGTCACACTTTCGAAAGTGTGTTAAAAGGGGCTTCTAGAATTGAATGAGGGTATTATTTGTCTCTGCATAGACCACGGTGCTGAATTGTCAAAATGTGTGTGTTTCCGTTAGGTAGACCACACTGATGAGCCCATTCGAAGCATTTGGCTGTCTGTGGTTTAGAGGGCAAAACAGCCTTTCGTAGTTTTTTTTATCAATGTCTTTTAAGCCAGCCCCTCCAAGGTGTTGTGCATGGTTTCAGGTATTCGGTTGGTGTTCGCCCAATAATGGCGCTGGCGAGAAGGGGCCCCGATGTAGCATCTTGCGAAAGTCATATAACAGGGAACGAACGTTGCTTGTATGTGAGGTCACCTGGTCGCATATAATCTCCTGCAGTGCCACGCAACTCATTTTTTTAGTTTGATATTTCGTCGCAAGATTTTGCAAATTTGACTGCCATATGTTCAGGTGAATATGTTCTTTCCTATAACGCCGAAGTAATATTATGCTCTGATAAATTATATCAGTTTATTTTTTCTTGTTGTTCACATAGAAAATGGGCGGTCTGTTTTCAATTCCATCTTACACCTTAGTTATTCTTGAATGAAACGCTGTAAGGCAGAAAATGGGGCCGAAGCACGTAGGGTTGTGATGAAAATTTGAGGTCAATCGGTTAGGTTTGAGATGAGATCGAGACCCAGGAGCAGCGCCGTGGCGCCCGCGGCGGGCTCTGCAGCGGCGTTGACGGGGCGCACGGAAGGCGTGCGCGTCGGCAGTCTGAATCGCGCACGGGGTTGAAATTTCGGCGCGCATGGTGCTAATTGAAGGTAATTACGGTAGGAAAACTTTGAAGAATTCCGAGTGCCTGGGAATACTCGGCTGTAGACGAACTTCATGCAATATCAAGACCACCATCGAACTCAGCGACCTCGATTCGCCTACTGACAAAAATTCGGGCTCGATCCGACGGCGTTCTCTCCTAAAAAATCTAACTCATTTTTTCAAGCAGTCGTTGCCTAAGAGTTGAACCATCCCACTAGCTCAGCGTGTGAGCCTAGTCCATAGCACATCCACAGATAAGAGATAGGGATACGCCGTGCATTCGCCTTCCATTGGGGAAGGTCATGGGTCATGGATGGAGGCGAATTTTTGGCTTTCCAAGGGGATCGGCACCCTCCACTGGCCTCGCAGGATACGCCGTGCACTGGCCTTCCATTGAGGACGGGTAGAGTCGTGGACGTAGGGGAATTTTGGACCTCTTCGAGGGCTTTTGAGCAGATCGGTACCCTCCACTGACCTCCGCAGGATACGCCGTGCACTCGCCTTCCATTGGGGAAGGTCATGGATGGAGGCGAATGTTTGGCTTTCCAAGGGGATCGGCACCCTCCACTGACCTTCGCAGGATACGCAGTGCACTCGAGATTCATTCAAGACGGGAGGGTCGCGGACGGAGGCGAATTTTGGACCTTTCGAGGGGCACAGCGTTCCTCCACTGGCCTCCGCAGGATACGCCTTGCAGTCGTCTTCCATCCAAGACGAGCAAAGTCACGAACGGAGGCGACTTTTGGCTTTTCGCGAGGGCCAGTAACCTTCGAAATGTACCAGGAATGTGAACTTATAGGAATAAATTGTTCAAGGTGCGAAGGAAAAAGCATAATTATCGTTCAGACAAAATTATTCAAATTTTCACGAGCATACACCTGAAATGTGAACCACGTTGACGGTATTGTTATTCCAGGGCATTTCGGAATATTTTTAGGTGTCAAACTATCATCAAAAGCGCAGGCTGCGCCCGTAAACAGCGACGAGCGGGGTCGATTTATCGATCGATCCGCCTAAGGCAGAGAGACGAGTGCCGGCCAAATATTTTGCAATTCGATGGGCACCAGCACAGGAGTCCACTGCGTCTCGGACATTTCCACTTAGCAAAAACTTGTCTGATACTTGAGCTCTATAAGTTAATCAGTGCCCTGATCACAACTATGGCATTTGCTTTTAGCTGTAGTGGCATTTATCCCCAACTTGGAGCAAGTGTTTCTCCCACTGGACTCCCCTATAGGCGAGCTTTCAGTCAAAAAAATTTTTACTTTCTTGAGGTTGTGTATTGGGTTATGCTCCTACTCTAGGCGGCTCGTGCCCCCACATCATGCAAAAAACCGTTTTCAAAAAGCGCGCAACGTCTTGAACGACCTCCCTGGTGAGCTGCAATTGTTTCTGCGAAGCGTATACTATACTTAGCGAGTTATATTAGGTTGGCGGGTATGTTTTGTCACATTTTCAAATTACGCCTTTTTTATAGAGAGGCGTGTAAGATCAAAATTATACAGCAATGTTACTGCGGGTTCTTTCCAATTTTTGCACCTCATGGATGCCATCGCCTCACAATGCAGGCCAGCGCGACGCAAAGTTGGACAACATCTCAATTTTGAATTGGGCTCGGGTTCTGGAGGTTTTCTTGTCCATATAACGGTCGAGTACGGGAGGCAACTCGCAGTTAGAAGGAGCAATGTCTGGGCTGCACCATGCAAGGGGAGAGCGATCCAGCTCTAGTGTGTGAGGTACGGCTCGAATTTTTTCTGATGGGTAGGCTGCACGTTGAAGACGGACTATGGGGACGAATTTTTCCCTCATCGATGGTTCGCATCAGATCTTCTAGTTGTTTTGCATACGGATTGACCGAAGAAGCAGTTTCTTCAGTCAGTTTCATGACCCGCAGCTCTCACAATCTGAGTTCACAGGTAACCCAAACCTCACTTCGTCATCAAAACTGTAGGCTCCCGCTTTGAAGCATTAGCGTCGTGAAAGTTGTCCAATAATTGAGGGCATCGTCCTTATTCAGCTCCATTATTTTGGCATCTGCAGCTATCATGCTGGCGTCAGGGTGGTGGAAGAAAGAGTTTGAGGAAGCGCTTGGAGGGGTCGTGCCGATGGTAGCGGATAAAATCCTTGTCCATATTGCAGAAGAAGAAGAAGCAGGAGTCAAGCGAGTGGTACTAATAGAAAGAACACCCTTGATGACATTATCGTTTACCCCTGTTCGGGTGATGGGCAAGTATTTTGAATTTGAGAGAGTGTGACAGAACTTTCCCGCCAACCTAATATATAGTAGGATCACTGATGTTCTTCACCTACGCCAAGAAAAGGTACGACCTTAGAACAGCTTGGCTACCATTTTCTGCCAGGAATCTTAAGGAGGTTCCACCACGCCTCTACATACACCCACTGCTTACATTTCCATAAATGTAGGAAGAGCATTAGGAGAAAGTCCAGGTTAATGCTGATTGGGGTATATATATCTATGGAAAATTGGAGTGGATATAGATGGAAAATTCGATGGTATAATCTAGAAGTTTTGGGGCAATCGATGCTTAAGTGGGCACTGTAACCATTTGAATGCTTGTAGTAATGGTGTCTGAGGATATCTAAAGCTTCTGAAATGCCACTGATCTTTTTAAATAAAAGAGCGATACCACAGGCCGCTCCAAGCACAAGCATAAGTCCAGCTCGCATGTTGCAGTTGTTGCTACTGTTACTGCTTATGCTTGACATTTTCAACCACTTGAGAAGAGCTGCTCGGAAAAACCTTTATGCGGAGGGATCATGGATATTTCGACAATGCAGAAAGTTTCACAACGGAGAGGCTGCCAGTTCACATCTTACTCATAAAGGCATACGACTCTTACTTTGTTTCCATCCACCGCACCGTCGCACCCAACTTTCGTACCTGGAGGAAGGAGACGCGCCTGGAAAAATGAGATTAGACAGAAATAGGGGAGAACAATACACGTTTGACCGAAATTTTTCAAAGTAGGCAGTCTTCGTAACACTTTGCTATTATTGTTATTCTTGGAGAACGATGACCTAACTCACCCTGTTCAATTGTCCTTTTTCTCTTAAGCCGGCCATGAGGGCTGAGCGTACTTTGGATCGAATTGACTGTCTTGAACCACTTGGGAAACTCCTTAATAAATGCAATGGTATCGTGCGAGGAATTTATCGGGAAATGTGTTGAAGAACCTGGACGGACCTTTCTCCCGTGAATTTATTAGGTATGGTAGTGGTTCCTGGATTCTTCGCTTCGTCGCAGGCGTAAGAAATGAGTGTAGGGTCATATTCCTGAGAACAAGTGAACTTATGGTTCTGAATATCGTGCAACTCCTCTAATTAGCGCACTATATGTAAAGAGCAAAAGGCGGTGGACTATAGAGCTATCTATCGTATCGACACTCAGTGAGAAGCCACTTAAAATCTCTGAGCGATTGGTTTGCTTGATATGTTTGAGCCAGAAACTATGTGAAACATTTTCTAAAAAATACCTACCAGCCCATTATTGACGTACTGCAGGTTGAATTCTGTATACAGTCCACCTAATGCATGGTATGTGAGGCATTCCGCTGAAAATGCACTAACTTCGACATTACTCCAAAAATTGCACTTTCTCAAAGACATCATGGGAAGCTCAAACGATTACAGAGTGTGCTAGTACAGCAATAATCAACCAATTACACTCACGCTCAGCGCCAACGTTTGCCAGGAGAAGGCTCTAGTGCTATGGCAGCGAACAACATTTGAACTACGACAACTCTGCGTCGTCACACTCCACTTTTATAGACGACACTTTCTACTGCATATTTTCATTAGGTTTAGTTAGAAACAGTTCTTGTGTGAATGGTTCATTGTATTTTTTTTCTTTTGGTAAACTCGTGCTCCACGTGTTCTGCACTTCCATAACGCTTCCTGCGAGGAAAGCCAATCATAGCCAACCGCTGTCACAACTCACGTTGGATCGTTTTCGCTTCCATACTGTTTTCACTGTCGAAGGGGCATTCACAATGCCATTCGATTGTATGAAGGGTTCGAAGCTGTGAATAATGTACAAAAACAATTCTTATATGCTTGCATAGGTTTCGGAAGGCATCGATTAGCTCAGCAGAACCGTTCTTGCCCCGTTCTTTCAAAACGTTCCGCTACAATTGCAGGCAAAATGTTTTAGGCACCAAGCATTCATCTTACTAGGGATGGTCGCCAGGTCGAAGTGGCCATTTGCGAGGAGACGTGTATCACGGGACGTGTTTTTGAACGCTGATTTCGAAATCTGCCTTCGAAAGTTTGCAGAACGAATTTCTGAAGGGAATTATGAAGGTTCACCTGGCGACCTTAACTAGTTAGAACAATGAGCTCCACAAAATTCACCTAAGACCACTTTGATTCGGAAATTATGCGAGTTGATCGACTCAATTCGGGTGATGACAAGCATCCGAGAAGTCTTCTAGCCTAGAATGGCCGCGGTGAGGGGCAAACGGTTCAGCACAACAGTACTTCAAATGTTTGACTAGTCGACTCAACTGTGAACCTTTGCAACACTTTCCAATTCATATAAACAGGCCGCCACTTGCTTGCAGGCAGCGCAGGCATTGGCGAGCCTAGGCAAGTTGTTGCTTTTACGAGTTTTAGTGCAAAACTGCAGGGCTCCATACGTTTTCGTGGGATTTGCGGCACCACATTCTGGGAGTGTTGAGTGAGAGTTTTGAGCAAGACGTTGTAACTGTCAACCTTTATGAGTGATGAGCATCGTTGTTTCCACACACTATCAACAATTTCAAGCTCTTCATCGTGTGAAAACAGAAGGCATTACTGGGTGTGTTCTAATGTGTGACATAGTAAACACCCAGTCGACAGTGAAAACAGTAGAGAAGCGATGAACGATCGAACATGGAATGTGACACAGAGCGCTTGGCTATAATCGATCCTGGAAATGCTTCATTGAACAGCAGAACACGTGGAACACGAATTTACCAAAAGAAAAAATACAATGAGCCGTTTATACAAGAACTGTTTCTAGCTAACTCTGATGGAAATGTGCAGTAGAAAGGTGTTGCCAGCGCTTATAAAAGTGGAGTGCGACGGCGCAGAGTGTCATAGTTCAAATGTTGTTCGCGGCCATAGCACTAGGCCTTCTCCTGGCCAACGTTGGCGCTGAGCGTGAGTGCAATGGTGTTTATTGCAGTATTGGCACCCTCTGCAATGGACTTTCTATGATGTCTTTGGGAAAGTGCCCTTATCAATGTTGTGTTGAATTTAGTGCATTTTCAGCGGAATGCCTCACCTTCCATGCATTGGGCGAATTGTATAAAGAATTCAACCTACAGTTCATCAATAATGGACTGGTTAGTATTTTTCAGAAACATTTCACATAGTTTCTGGCTCAAACATATCAAGCAAACCAATCGCTCAGAGATTTTAAGTGGCTTCTCACTGAGTGTCGATACGATAGATAGCTCTATAGTTCACCGCCTTTTGCTCTTTACATATGGTGTGCTAATCAGACGTGTTGCACCATATTCAAAACTATAAGTTCACTTGTTCCCAGGAGTATGACCCTACGCTCATTTCTTACGCCTGCGACGAAGCGAAGAATCCAGGAACCACTACCATACCTAACAAATTCACCGGGAGAAAGGTTCGTGCAAATTCTTTAACACATTTCCCGCTAAATTCTTAGCACGATACTATTGCATGTATTAAGGACTTTCCCAAGCGGCTCAAGTCAGCCAGTTCGATCCAAAGTACGCTCAGCCCTTATGGCCGGCTTAAGAGAAAAAGGACAATTGAACAGGGTGAGTTGGGTCATCGTTATCCAACAGGGACAATATTAGCAAAATGCTGCCAGGAATGCCTGCTTTGAAAAAATTTTCGGGCCAACCTTTACTGTTTCTCCCCTATTTCTGTCTCATCGCATCTTTCCAGGCGCGCCTCCTTCCTCCAGGCACGAAAGTTGGGTGCGACGGTGCGGTGGATGGAAACAAAGTAAGAGTCGTGTGCCTTTACGAGTGACTGAGAGCCTATCCACTGTGAAAATTTATGCAATGTTGGAATATCCTAGAACATTCCGTATAAAGGTTTTCCCAAACAATCTTCTCAAGTGTTTGAAAATGCTATGCATAAGGAGGAAGAGTAGATACACCGTATCAACAGTTGGACAAAACGGGCCAGGTAGCTCGTTTCGAACGGCATCGTTGAACTCAGCGCCCTCGATTACCTTACCCTGTGAAATTTCGGCATGATTGGTCTTGTTTTCTCTTTTTTCTAACTTGCGTTTTGTTCTTGCCTTACTTAAGGGAAAGGCAAAAAGCCGGCGAGACTGGCCCAAAGCCATCCTGGCTGGCTGTTTTGACGCAATTTCAGCACTGTTTTGATTTTGCCTTTCTAGTGAGAATGGCATGCGGCTGCAGTGGATTTTTAGGCGTTAAGTAAAATGTGTGTGCAGTGGATGCGCACGCGTAATTCTACCGAATGAGCCAGAAACAACATTTTGCATGCTAGACCATGTGGTTCCTGGGATGTTAAAGGCTTTGGTTCGATATATTAATGTTTTCTTTGGTAGCTGGGGATCTTTGGCCTTACATAGGCTGTCTTTAGGACTGAACAGAGATCCTAGGAGCGCAGTTTTAGAATGTCACACTTTCGAAAGTGTGTTAAAAGGGGCTTCTAGAATTGAATGAGGGTATTATTTGTCTCTGCATAGACCACGGTGCTGAATTGTCAAAATGTGTGTGTTTCCGTTAGGTAGACCACACTGATGAGCCCATTCGAAGCATTTGGCTGTCTGTGGTTTAGAGGGCAAAACAGCCTTTCGTAGTTTTTTTATCAGTGTCTTTTCAGACAGCCTCTCCAAGGTGTTCTGCATGGTTTCAGGTATTCGGTTGGTGTTCGCCCAATAATGGCGCTGGCGAGAAGGGGCCCCGATGTAGCATCTTGCGAAAGTCATATAACAGGGAACGAACGTTGCTTGTATGTGAGGTCACCTGGTCGCATATAATCTCCTGCAGTGCCACGCAACTCATTTTTTTAGTTTGATATTTCGTCGCAAGATTTTGCAAATTTGACTGCCATATGTTCAGGTGAATATGTTCTTTCCTATAACGCCGAAGTAATATTATGCTCTGATAAATTATATCAGTTTATTTTTTCTTGTTGTTCACATAGAAAATGGGCGGTCTGTTTTCAATTCCATCTTACACCTTAGTTATTCTTGAATGAAACGCTGTAAGGCAGAAAATGGGGCCGAAGCACGTAGGGTTGTGATGAAAATTTGAGGTCAATCGGTTAGGTTTGAGATGAGATCGAGACCCAGGAGCAGCGCCGTGGCGCCCGCGGCGGGCTCTGCAGCGGCGTCGACGGGGCGCACGGGCGGCGTGCGCATCGGCAGTCTGAATCGCGCACGGGTTGAAATTTGGGCGCGCACGGTGCCAATTTAAGTTTTACGGTAGGAAGAACTTTGAAGAATTCCGAGTCCTGGGAACACTCGGCAGTAGATGAACTTCATGCAAAATTAAGACCACCATCGAACTTCAGCGACCTCGATTCGCCTACTGACAAAAATTCGGGCTCGATCCGACGGCGTTCTCTCCTAAAAAATCTAACTCATTTTTTCAAGCAGTCGTTGCCTAAGAGTTGAACCATCCCACTAGCTCAGCGTGTGAGCCTAGTCCATAGCACATCCACAGATAAGAGAGATAGGGATACGCCGTGCATTCGCCTTCCATTGGGGAAGGTCATGGATGGAGGCGAATGTTTGGCTTTCCAAGGGGATCGGCACCCTCCACTGACCTTCGCAGGATACGCCATGCATTGGCCTTCCATTGAGGACGGGTAGAGTCGTGGACGTAGGGGAATTTTGGACCTCTTCGAGGGCTTTTGAGCAGATCGGTACCCTCCACTGACCTCCGCAGGATACGCCGTGCACTCGCCTTCCATTGGGGAAGGTCATGGATGGTCTTGGGGAACAAATATTATACACAAACGAAAGTCTATAGTGCCTTAATTGCTATTCCATTCTTGAGAGTAAAGAACCCTTGCTAGGCCATAATAATTTGAGAACCTCTATTATAAGCGAATTCGCGCCAATGCAAGTGGCATCTAAGGGTTGGTAGAGTTCGACATTCACGCGTTCTGAGATTATTCATGAAAGGATTGGCCACTAAAAAAATCACAAGAAACAAACATTTGGATAGAAGTGGGGCACAGGTAAATATTCCCGTTCTCTATAAGGAGGAGACGATCATAGAGAGAAGCTTCCATAGTTGGGTGACAGTGAGGGTGCACCAATACCAGGGAATCAATTAGAGAAACAAGGACTACGATCAGTGAGAATTTTTACCTTTTTGACGCCTGTCCCTCAATTGGCATCTGACGGCCCTCCAGCCACGTTGGCCAGGAGAAGGCCTAGTGCTATGGCCGCGAACAACATTTGAACTATGACACTCTGCGCCGTCGCACTCCACTTTTATAAGCGCTGGCAACACCTTTCTACTGCACATTTCCATCA